CGCCTTTTTCCTTGCCTTCTCGCCTTTCCCGCCTTTCTCCTCTCTTTCTCGCCCTTTTCCGCGCTTTCTCCTCGCTTTCTCGATTTCTCGTTTTTTTCCTCGCTTTCTCCCTCTTTCTCTCGCCTTTTTCCCCGCTTTCTCACCTTCTCGCCTTTTTCCTCGCTTTCTCCATTTCTCGCTTTTTTTCTCGTTTTTCCGCCTTTTTTCCTCGCTTTCTCGCCTTTTTTCCCGCTTTCTCGCCTTTTTCCTCGCTTTCTCGCATTTTTCTTCACTTTCTCGCCTTTTTCCTCGCTTTCTCGCCTTCTCACCTTTCCCGCCTTTTTCCTCGCTTTCTCGCCTTTTTCCTCGCCTTTTTCCTCGCTTTCTCACCTTTCTCGCCTTTTTCCTCTCTTTCTGGCCATTTTCCTCACTTTCTCGCCTTCTCACCTTTCCCGCCTTTTTCCTCGCTTTCTCGCCTTTTTCCTCACTTTCTCGCCTTTTTCCTCTCTTTCTCGCCTTTTTCCTCGCCTTTTTCCTCGCCTTCTCAACTTTCCCGCCTTTTCCCTCACTTTCTCGCCTTTTTCCTCGCTTTCTCACCTTTCTCGCCTTTTTCCTCTCTTTCTGGCCATTTTCCTAGATATCTATGTATCTACTGGATCAAACTGAATTTGATTTCAATACGTTAATTAACAAATGGATCTTTTTTTTTTATCTTGTAAATGGATAGTTAATTAATTAGTTTGGCGAGGAAAAAGGCGAGAAAAAAGGTGAGAAAGCAAGAGTAAAAAAGGCGAGAGGTCAAGAAAGCGAGAAAATTTTCCTCGCTTTCTCGCCTTTTTCTTCGCTTTCTCGCCTTTTTCCCCGCCTTTTTCCTCGCCTTTTTTTTACCCTGGCTTTCTCGTCTCTCGCGAGAAGTCGAGGGTAATATGGCCATAGCCGGCTTTCCATATAAAGTTGATTACTGTTTGAAGTCTATCGCCCACAAGAAAGCGGGGAATCTCGACTTCTCGCCCACAAGAAAGCGAGGGAAAAAGCAAGGAAAAAGGCAATGAAAAAGACGAGAAAGCGAGGGTAAAAAAAAATTTTTCCTCGCTTCCGCGCCTTTTTCCGCGCTTTCTTGCCTTCTCGTCTTTTTCCTCGCTCTCTCGTCTTTTTCCTCACTTTCTCGCCCTTTTCCTCGCTTTCACGCCTTCTCGCCTATTTCCTCGCCTTCTCGCCTTTTTCCTCGCCTTTCTGGCCTTTTTCCTCTCTTTCTGGCCTTTTTCCTAGATATCTATGTATCTACTGGATCAAACAGAATTTGATTTCAATACGTTAATTAACAAATGGATCTTTTTTTTTTTATCTTGTAAATGGATAGTTAATTAATTAGTTTGGCGAGGAAAAAGGCGAGGAAAAAGGTGAGAAAGCGAGAGTAAAAAAGGCGAGAAGACAAGAAAGCGAGAAAATTTTCCTCGCTTTCTCGCCTTTTTCCTCGCTTTCTCGCCTTTTTCCCCGCCTTTTTCCTCGCCTTTTTTTTAACCCTGGTTTTCTCGTCTCTCGCGAGAAGTCGAGGGTAATATTGCCGTAGCCGGCTTTCCATATAAAGTTGATTACTGTTTGAAGTCTATCGAATGAGATGCTTGGAAACAATTACATAACTGACTTTAAAGACATCAGGCATTTGACTAATAGAAAAAGACCA